TCTCCTTTTCTTTGGTTTCACGCTAGGCTGCAAGGCAGAGTCCTGGGCAGCCTTCCCCTCGTCCGTTCGGTCTCTGGCCAGGTCCACCCCCCTGGCTTGGCCTGTGCTCTCCGAGTCTGAGTACTGTTGGAGATCGCTAGCGTTGGGCGTCGAGGTCGTGAACTCCGACTCGTCCAGCTCCTCCTTCCCATCCAGCGCCGAGTCGGAGAGCTCAGCGGCCGCCCCCTGCTCCAAGCTGCTGCTGTACTCCCCCAGTGATCCCGCATTGTCTCCTGGGCTCTCGGCCAGGGTGCCGCAGGCAGAGAGGAGGGAGGCAGAATCCGCCCCGTTGGCCTGTTCGTGGCTCCGCTCCACCAGCTCGTTCGTCTCTAGCCAGGACTCGATGCGGGACACCAGGCGCCAGCCGTTGCAGCGAAAATGCTCACGGATTTCGTGCTCAAAGACTTCCACCGGCCTGCGCAGCAGCTGCATCATGGACTGCACCACCCGGATCAGGGTCATCTCGTTGTAGCAGCGGCTGTTCTCATAGCCCTCCTGGAGGCCCCGGTCACTGTCAAAGCCTGCCTCGTTGTAGTAGGGCTCGTTCACTAGGATGAGACCTGCCAAGAGAAGGGGAGACCAAGGGGTTAAGGGAGGAACTTCACTGTGAATTGCCATCCCACGCAGACGCTGCCAGCCCGATTTCTGCCAAAGTGGTTGAGGTCTGAGGGTCACAGCACCACCGCCTTGCTGAGGCATCACACCGGCTTCACCTGCAGCCACACTGATGCAGGCAGGTAGGAGAGGCCAGGGTGGACAACCAGGCACCTGCAAGATGCACTGGAATGGTATCACAAGGGGACCACTCATGTGAACGGGTCTGTGGCCTTCTGCTAGGGTGGTGAGGATCTCGGCCACTACTGAGAGGGGCATTCAAGATCCTTGGCTGGCAAGAATAGTCTTCTACCAGTGCAATGCAGAGGGCACACAACAGCGGAGTAGGTCAAAAGGGCAAGAGGGGAAAGGTTTCACAGCTCCTTTCCCTTCCCTCCCTTCCCAGCAAAAAACACAACCCATAAACACACCCAAATTTTTTTATTTTTTCTTAAATATTTTTTTTCCCCTCCTTTTAATCAGACCAACGGCCAATCTTCAGTAATAGGCTTTGAGTTGGCCACGTCCTATCCTACCCAGTGTAGTCCCATCAGACAGTGCAGTTCTGAGACAGTGAATACTGTGACGAGTCACCAATACCAAGCTTTCCTCCTGCTTGCTTCTGATCTGGTGTAATTACATGTATGTAGCAATGGCACCAATACTGCCAGGCTGCTGGCAGCCTGCCACACGCTGCATTAGAGCTGGTGGAGGTGAGATCATGAGTCTCTCAAAGCCCAGGCAGCAGGAGAGGAGATTTTTTCACTAACACCAAGTCGTTCCAATAAAACATTTATTATTTCGTTTTCTAAATTTGGCTCCTCAGCTTTGTAAATGAGAAAAGGCTTTTTGCATGGTGTCATTCCCCCACAGGAAGATACAGGTGGACCAAGAGACTTCAGAGGAGCAGGAGTCGCCTGCGGATTCAAGGCAGGAGCCCTTGCTCTGTGTCAAAGGTTTCTCAAGTCACATGCCTGGGCTCCCTGCACAGAAAGTTGGCCTTGAGGAAGAGATTTGATTTAGTCTGTGCGCTCTCAAACTAGATATGGTAGGGCAAAGCCCTATGGCAGGAAGCCTTGGGAATGGTCTAGACACACCCCTGATTATTCTCTGCTTCAGAAAGAGCATAAACACCAGCATCATGTGCAAAAATATGCCCAATGTAGGATGGGCGGGTGACTCAGGCTAAAAAACAGTCCTGCGAATGAAGCCCAGTTTAGCAACTTCAACTAACTTTGGTAACTGGCTGAGGACACAGTGGTTCACCTTCGTCAGCTGAGAATAACAAGCAAAACAGCTCTGAGCTTAGCTGCCGCAGTGAGAAGGGAAAGCATTGTGTCAGATCTGGGATGCAGCCAAAAATCAGGGCATGAGAAAAGCTTGCACCTGCTTCCACTGCTGAACTGGAGAGATAAGGACACTGCTTTGTCCAGCAAGGTGAGAGCAAAAGGCAGCACTAACCCAAGTGGGGTGGCAGATCCCAACTGTGTGCCTCCCCCACATGCCTACATCCCCTCCTCCCTCTACCCCTGCCTGTCCTGCAGGCTCTGCAGGAGCATTTACCTTGGATGGAGATGAGTACTTGAAGGAGACTGGATTTACTGGTCCACCTTTCTGTTCCCTGAAATGCACATACAAATGTGTTAAAGGGCAGAAGCACCACCGGTTTGCTCTGTGATAATCGTTAGATGAAGCGAGGCCCCAGTTTCCCTGCATTCCTATCGCTAAGGTCCTCTGGCCCACAGTGGGAACAAAGGACTGACTTGACAAGCATGTGATGTGCTGGCAGGCCATTGTACCAACCCATCTCATTTTTTTGCAGCACCACATCCCATCATGTCGGTTCTGCCTGGAATGGTGTAACCCTACACGCCAGACACCAGTTCCAGCCCCTCCCTAGCTGCCCTGTGCATCGACCTGCCTAAGCACAGCATTTCCCTGGCTCTCTTTATTCCAAGTCTCCAGCTGGACTTTGTGCCACAGTACATGATTCAACCATGGTATGGGAGCCAGGGACCCAAACGAGAGGAGAACACCCCAGGTC